CATTGTCGAAAGTAACCAGCACATTGAAACCAAACGGGGTGGTTGGCCCTGTCTGGAGTTGCTGAACTCTTAGCTCACCCAGACAGACGTCCAGGCTACCCGGTCGGCACCACGAGGAGGTGGTTCAGCTCGCCGACCTGTTGACACTTTTAATCGTCAGAAGCGGCACTAGTGTCTGGCGATGAAAATTCTTGTCCCTTACAAGGGCTTTATGGGCATTCTTCCGTGGGCGCGTACATGTCTGTGGCAAACTCCCTCTTGGTTTCACCACATCCAGTAGTGTCAGGGAAGAATGTCATCTGTCACCTGTGTAATCGATATGCCGTCTGAGTCTTCTTTACCTGCCTCTAATAATTCGGGAATCGAACTACTCGTAGGCGTTCACCCACAGACTTTAATTACGCCGACGTTATTGGACCTCCTGGACAATACTCTCTATAAATGCTTCGCAACTGCGAAGTGTAAGTACAGTATTGAGTGGGATCAACCCAAAACTCATGCTTGCAGGTGAACTGATCGATATAGATTAGTTATTTTATCTGGACAGCTTCGTAGGTCCCGACAGTCTTGCGAAAGACGGAATCACTCCTGAGGTTAGGAGGGCCAGACAGCACTCGCTAACATCCGACATGTGGGACGCTGACATGATATCGACTTGACCATCAAAGGTAGAGCGTGAATGCTGCGATCCGGTCTATGCAACTTTATGTATAATTGATGTATCCGTTGTTTATGGAAGGCCGAGGGCTTTCTGTGTTTGGTCATCGGTGCCTCCGAAGCATTGTGCAGGTTTGTTGAGAACATCAGATGAGTGGTTCGGGTTTCGGATTTTCGGAGAAGTACACTCTCCCTCGATAGAGCGAATTGTCACACTTCACAGGTTTCGCTGGTTAGGCCGTGTACTTTGTACGTAGGAAGACTTTTTCCATCGTAGATCCCTTTTCGCTCAGGCTTATGTTGGATGCAGGCGACTCAGAGGTGGTCAATCCATGACTTGACAATGAAGTATGAAAGTCCTTACCAATAAACTGCTCGCGTTCGTTACTGGCGCCTCCCAGGATGGAGACCGCGGAACGAGGTGAAACAATGCTTAGTGACCCTAACAGATATGGTTGTATCACGTAACCAGTTTTACATCAGAGCTATCGCTTTCAATCCGTAGCTCTCACCCTCAGCCATGCCGGACAAACAGAACCACCCGACGTCAACACAGCGCATGGCTGTCATTCCTCTTTCATTCTTCGCCTCAGTGAAGCAGGCTGTAGCAGCTGGAGCCACTGTACTTCGGTGCACGGTTGGTGAGCTGACTGACTGACGGGTACGCTGAATTTTCTTTTTTCTATAGCTTCTCGTCATTTCTGTGTGTGCGAATATTCACAGCTGGATCAAATAGTTTTCAATAACTCTCACCATAATTTGCATATTCTATGTTGAGTGGTGTACATCGCCGAACGGGGAGCTGAATGTACTATGATTCAAATCGATGAAGTGACATCTTTAAACTGCCCCTTGTGATGTGCGCAGCTAGAAGCGTCTAAAGCCGCAGGCTTCCGACCAGAAAATATTTACACGAGGGAATGTGCGAAGTTCATTTCGTCTTCTGATAACGCGAGTGACAATGGATTACCTAGGCGCACAAGCTCGAAAACCTGTGAAGTATTCCTACTAAGATTTCGTGCTGTGAATTAAGTGAATCTTTTCTTGGAAACGGAGAAGCGCCGTACAGTTGATAGCTCGAAAACCTGTGAAGTATTCCTACTGAGATTTCGTACTGTGAATCTTTTCTTGGAAACGGAGAAGCACCGTACAATTGCTTCATTTTTGTTAGGAGTTATCAGCAGTGCGGATCTGGTGAACCTTCTGAGTGACTCGACCTCCCGGCTACTCAGCCACGAGTAGCAAAGTGTGATTAATTCAAATCTGGACAAGATGTAGTGCCACTCGTCTTTCTTTCTTTGTTCTAAAAATGCCATCCGAGCTATTTACACTTTACACAGTAGTCGTTTTAGTGTACTTACAAGTTCGGTTTGAGTATATTAGTGAAAGATGAACCAATAGATGATAAATTGCGGTCCCGTGTACAATGGCCTCTGTTCACAACCATACGTTTAAGTACTACAACAATTGCATGAATGCTATCTTGTAGCTCGGAGCGTGTATTCACGGTGACCAACAGCTTCAACCCGTCCAACCTACTTTCTTTTGTTCGATTTACAGTGCTCCAACTTCGACCCGTTCCTGGACGACTGTCTCGAGCTGGCTAAGCGTGCTTCCCGTCTCGGTGTCTCCGTAGACATGCGAGTTGTCGACGATCTACCTCATGCGTTTTTAAACTTTGCTCCCCTTGGTCCGGAATTCCAGTACGCCAACAAAGTTTGTATGAACATGCTCAAGAGCTTGTTTGAACGTGATCCTGAAAACCCCTGTAGTCCCAATTCATCTTCCGAATCCTCCTCACCTGCTGGAATGAGCAAATATCACTCATTTGATGAGGACTTTGTTGCGGAATGACACATGCGCGCCGTTGTCTCCCTGTTTCGGATCAACCAAAGCAGGACAATGTTATGTGCATATTATCACCACTGGACGAGTGAACTATGCTCACTATATTTCTCCATGTGTAAAAAGTCACTTTAAGCTACTGGTGATCAACCGTTTACATTTTCTAACAGTCTTTCATTATAACACAGTTTATTATCCGTTTCTACCCACTTCCTACTGCATCTCTAGCGGATTTCGGTTCGTTTAAAAGCAACTTTGTACTTCATGAGATTTATTTTATCCTTCACTCGCTTTCCGTGGTTTTGCCAGATTATCAAAACACGTTCAGCAAACTCTGAATATAATTCACCTCAATGTGTTTGTTCCTCATTCCACTCTTGGTCGCCGCGGGCAAAAGCGCTCACGGTATTTTTTACATACAGTCCCTCCTCAAGCAGGGTCGAGTCTATGAAGACGACAGGTTGTCAGAAGACGTCAGAAAACCATGTCTACGTGATGGGCCTGAAAGAGCGAAACGACTTTTGTTAGACTATTAGTTAATCAGGTGGCTGTCGATTTGTTCGATAAGCTTGGTATTTGACTTGCAGATGTCTTGTCACCACTAGCGGAAACATAATCAGTGCGCTATCGTTGAACTGTCAGCGAGCTTTGTTCACAATTCCCATACTACAAATAGAGCGCATGGTCTCCCTCCGTGATTGCCGTCTTGTTTATTCACCATTCTGTACCTACGTAGATACTGTAAGCAGTTTCAATCGCCGAAAACGACATCCACTCATGGCTAATCAGGTATGATCAGCATTCGCTCTCAGGAACATGGGAATATCCACGCCGACCGCGCACCCGCAATTTGGTACTAGAATTAACGTTAACTTGGTAGATTTCTCCAAAAACTCAACCTATGTAGGACAGCATCATGGCAGGAATTTTTGATCAAACGCTGTCTTTTTGTATGCTAAAACGTAGGGACTATTCTGGTTTTTTTTTAATATTTCTACAAAGGTATCCCCAGTGGCATCGCTGGCCAACAAGCAAACATGGTTTGTCTTTCCCAGTGTCTCTCCGACGAAGTTGTGCTGAAAATATCTTTACCGTACGCCATAACTCGCCACTTTTCCGGCTCGTAGATATACCTTATCGGGACGAAAGTATCCGTTAGATTTCTCCGTTTATGGCAATGACCAGCGCAGCTAAGTTTGCTGGTAATGGCTTTATTACTTCGCTGCAAAGCCATTGTTTGACCACCTCTGGCTCGTTTCCATCCTTCACGTTATCGTGCGAAAAGAGCCCCTCGAGAAAGTTGGTCAACTGGCATACGCAGCACGTGGCCAAGCCAAAGCACCCTATGCATTGAGCGCCACTAACACAGATCTTTTCACCTTTTTGCCACCTTCATCCACATCCTCACTGCCACCACAGTATTGGTTTACTGTGGAAAGTTGTTAGGCTAGCTCAGATCGGTGATGTTGAGTTATCTTCGTTCTTCGAAGATAGTCGATTGGCATGCTTCTAGCTAATTTTCGAGGGCCTGAAGGGAAGCGAACTGTCAGGCGTGCACCTACCATGACTTGGTCGGAATCAAGTGGTGTACCCCAGAAGAAACGGCAGCGTTGAATTGTGGCCCTCCCCCGGTGGTCCACGTGGTCCAACTGGGTACATGGTTGATTTGCAGTTGGTGGCCACAAGGTTACGTGATTCGAACGTTTATGTTGAAAGATCGCACCTGTCAGAAGCAATTAATGGTCAGCACGCAACCGAAGGAGTCTAAATCCGTTGTCTGTGCGGCGAGCATCGACTCCTGAACGAGCACACAAATGTGATTCCAAGGAGCTCAGATGACCTACTTGAGCATTAGACTCGCCTGCAAGGATTAATGTCAGTGCCTTTTGCTTGAGGAATGAAAGGAGCTCAACCTACTTGAGCATTAGACTCGCCTGCAAGGATTAATGTCAGTGCCTTTTGCTTGAGGAATGATCCCCCGACCTAAAGCTAGCTGCTTGGATCGCCCAAGGGTGACCGTGACCGCCGGCGCATTATCCGATACGATCGAAATACTTTTAAAACCAAAGAGCCCGGTGCTGCTTAAAAGGGCCCTGCCGTGCGCAGCCGCATCAGGAATGAGACAGTAATGCCTTCTTCCCTGCGCCAACCCCTGCAGCCGAGCAGGTCAGACTATTGAATCATCGGCTCTGGGCAGGGTCCCCAAAGAAAACCCTACATTCTCCCACTGCCCCGTGGGTCAGACTTTTGAGTCAGAGGCTAGGGTCAGGGTCCCCGAACAAAACCCTACGTCATCCCACTGCAGTGTGGGTCAGACTTTTGAGTCGAAGGCACAAGGTGGGGTACCTCAACCAAACCCCCATCCTCGGCCCGGGC